GCTGTTTCGTTGCATGGTGTAGGCACTTTGTAAACGCAGCATTCGTTGGAGAAGGATCAGTAAGTCACATGCTGCTACCGCATGCTTGTGGTGTTAACTGTGGACCTTGTGGCAAAACGGCAGCTGATAAGCAGGACCTCGGGGTATTGAGAGCTCATTGCCCTAATATACTTCTTTTCGCGGGAGTCTCATTTCAGGGGCACACCAACTCCGGCTGAAACCCTGAGCCCTAGGGCAACCCCAACCATGACCTCGAACGCTGACTTTATGAGATTTGCCGGTGATTCGTTTGGAGGGTTGCGAAGGGTTCCTAGAAGCATGTCCATTCTGGGGACGCCAAGATTATTGAGAGGCTCCCAACTTTTTGGAATCTAGGCGCGCGGCTTCAGGCTCAGGGCCTCTTGCGGCCATCACTCACGGCGTTGGCGAGTGCATTGTCTTCTGCTGCCACTTCTCATGCAGGATTCAAGGGACTGTCTGACCTGACCCCGTACCTTTCATGCCTGCTAACAGTTTTCAACGTTGGGTCTGTGCAATCCCTGCAAAAAACGAAACACTTCAAGGGGACCGAGATTCTGAAAGAAAGACCTGCAGTAGGCATCATCTCAAAACCCGTAGGAAGAGCAGGTTGTCTCGAATTCTCATGCAGGCATCTCGACACCACGCCTAGTTATCTAAGAAGGTTGCGCAGCAGCAACAGGATAATCAGATTATCCTAGGCTTGTAGTTTGGCGCTCTAGGGTTCTAGCAGCTCCGGGACCAATTACAGAAGACCAGTACGCTCCTGATTCTCGTTGGCATCATTGGCAGCGCCATGAACACCATGGTGTACAAGTCCCTTGCATTACTCGTTATATTTAGACAAGTACGACTGTCGTCATAACTTCCAATGAGTTTGCTTGTAAAGTAACTCTCCTGGAGAGGCTGCCTGACCGTCTCACAGCTCCTTGTCGCCATAGCAGGGGCAGAACCTGACCAGAAGTGATAATGGCTGCAGGTTCGGCCATGGGAGATCTTTGGCTTTTCCTTCTGCTTGGTTACAGACTGAGATGCACCTCCGCTGCCATGTACCCACCTTAGGCGTCCTGACCAACTTCAAGGTTTGTGCTTAGCACACCCTGCAGGGCCTAGGCCGGCGACACTGGAGACTGTGAGAAAAGAAAGTTTCTTCTATCACCCTGACTAGCCGCCTGCCAGAGTTGATGTCAGGGGTGATAGAACATGCGGCGCCCTAGAAACCAATGGAAGTTTGAAATCCTTGAAGATTCACAAGGCTGAGGAATCTCCAAACCATACTGGGGGATAGGAGCGAGCTGCAAGTTCTGCGTTTTGTAATTCCGCGGCGTTCTGCCAGCCATCAATCAAGCGACCAAAGCTGGGCAGAAACATTCGAATGCAGCAAAGGGTTCTTATCATGGTACGTCAACACCTCGCAGTGTCCTCAAGCTGGTCTGGAATACTGACAGGTTGCAGGATGTCCATGCAACAAAGCCACATAAGCATCATGGTTCTGGACGCAAGAGCTACTTAAGCCCCCGACTGCACACACAACCACCTCACGACAATACTCTTGTGTCCCAATGTAGGCTGCAGAAGTACTTGCAATCGACCGTTCACAGCCGTATGCCATACACACTTCCTGTTGTAAACGCAACGAACCTAATCCTGCACTCCCTGCTAATAACCAGAAATTTGTTCAGGATTTGAGACACTGGCTCCTATCTCGCCTGTACGTCCCCGGGTCGCCGGAAGCTGAACATCGTGACCTCGTTGCAGTGGCTCGGGAACCATACCCCTCAATCTTATTGGTGGTTCATAGGGAATGAAAGACTTGGTTAGTACGACTATAATGGGGTTATGTGTAGACTAGCACAAAGGGATCCATTCCTCCATCCCCTACCGCCCACCAACAAGAATCTTTCTGAAATCAGGTAAACCCCAGGGCCGCATGCGTGGGAGCTTCTCTTTCTGCAGCTTACGACACCCAGAGACTCAGACAAGCCTATCCTCGGAAGAACACATGATCTTAGTCTTGCAAATAGGAATAGTAATGCTGCTATGCGAAGCTTCAGGCCTCAGAGCCATGAGGCGCTCTGAACCTGGGATTTCAACCCGACCCTAAAAGACCTCAACTCCTAAAAAAGACCGAGGTGCTCTGCAGTTTCGCCTGGGTCTCCATGCCAACCGCAGTACCGGCCTGGTCTCCAGGACTTCAGGGGATCTGAGATTGTTCGGAGGATGTGATTTAGGGTGGAGGGTCTCAGGGTCTAGGGTTCAGAGCTTTGGCTGGCGGGCATGGGGTTTAAAAAGTGATCTTGTGCTTGTGGTACTATGATCCAAAACTACACCAGCGCACGATAGGATACTAGATTGCATTTGAGATCAAATGACTACACTACTAATAAATTCAGAATTTGGGGTGTTGGAGTGTTGACCGGGGGGAAGAACTTCTTGGAGGCAGCCGTGGGCCGTGAAGAGAAGCCTCCAAGTTGTGGTGGGGAGGGACTTCAGAATGGCTAGGTTTGAGATCCAGGGCTCAGGGTTGCCGGTCAAGCCTTGAGCAGCTGAAGTTTAGGGCCCAGTTCTGCTCGAGTGCGGCAGGAGATTCACAGCAGAGATGCTACTGTGTGTAGAAATCCTGTTGGACTTGGCTAAGTCTGTGTTGCGTAGTACGGGAGACATGTGTCTTGCCTGCACTTCTCTTGGTGAAAAAAAACCAGAGGGAGGGGTGCTAGACATGAAGGTGCAGATGCTTTTTGCTAACAACTGAAACTGGATTTTGGCGTTTGTGACCACCCTTCCAGAAAGCTGAAGCGCCAGTCCCCTTTTGAAAACCAAGCCAAACACCTCTGCAGGCCTTTTGGATAAAGGCGGGATTCAAAGCCCCAGCCACCCAGGACTCTGACCGTCTGTGCTTGGATCATACTTCGCGCCGCCCTGCTGTATGCTGACCTGAAGTCCGGGCTTTCGCTTGAAGAGGATCCGGGTTACAGCCTAAGCTTGCTTTGAGCTTGAGGCAGGGACTGCCTCCCGCTTTTCAGGAAAGGCACCACAAGCAAAGCTGGCAAGCGTTGCAACAAGGGGCGTATCATCCGCAAGCCCGGTCAGTTCTTGATGGCTCCAATGCAAACATCCTGGAGGCTGCGAGTTGCAGCTACAAGTTTCTGGACATGTATGAGAAGCAGGGTCTTCATGTATTATTGACTTATGCTAAACCTATCAGGGATATCAGTGAACCCTACCAGACCGTTGCAAAGATGTTGGAAACGAAGTCGGAAGTGATTGCCCCAAAAGGGCCCCTGAGAATCATGCACACGTAAGTCCGGAGTCAGCCAAGATCTCCTTGAATTCTTCCAAGGTAGTCCTAGGCATGCTGACAGCCAAGGATTTGGGCTGTAGGCAAACCTCCATATCAGACTGAAACCCAACAGCCCCATTGGAGGAGACTCTGTTTAGCTCCATCAAGAAGCCCTCGGCCATGGAATGGAAAGTTGGGCGCTCTAGGTTGGCCTCTCTCACTAGAGGTGCAGGTGTGGCGGGGAAAGGTTCAGGGTTTTTTTGGACTGGAGGCCACGATCAGCACAATGGAGTTGCGAGTATATGAGGTAGGAACCATTCCTGCAATGAGTACTACTTCCTTGAAAACTCTGCTGTTTGTTCAAGCTTTTACGTTGCATGTTTTTTGTTGTGAGATCCAGGGCTTAGGGGTTCTATGACCACCGTCTTTCGTCCAGCTTCAAACGGCAAAATAATTTTGATAGAGCCATGAAAAATCAAATGCAAAGAAACACGCTAAATGAAGCGGAAACTTGGATTGGACTTTGGGTTTAGCGCCTAGGTAGGTGTATTACCAAACACTAGTGCTATCCTTTACATGATACTGTAAGATTACCCGCTTATAAACTGAGGTTCCCCCTACTTAGCGTCAAGGGTTTGGGGCTTGGGGGTTGAAGTTTAGGGTTCTCTGAGCTCATGGAAGGATGCCCAGAACAGCTGCTGTGCTCACTGAGCTGTTGTTCAAGAACCGGATCGCAACATACAAGGCTCAAGAAGATAGATGCCAAGAAACCCGTTGAAAAGAAGACGTATCCCAGCTTCATTTTGCTTTCCGCGGGCTCCGGTAATTTCCTAAGGATCTCGGTCTTCCATCTACGGTTTAAACTATGGGACCAAATCCTGAAATCTTTGTTATATATCCACTATACCCTATAAAGCCGTACAAACCCGATTAAGGGCCCATACTTGGACCCAAACAAGAGGTAGGGAGCCATATTAGGGGCAGGGTTTGAACCTTCTAACCTTAGGCTTCGGCTCCGCGATGTAGGGAATTTTGACTCAGGCTTTGTGACATTGGACAGTCCAAAAGTTCCCCTTTGTAGTGGGGTAGTCGCCGTGAATTGATTCGGGGTCTTTTTGGGGCAAGCCATGCCCCTGCCCATACACGCGGCCAGAAACACCTTCGCCGGGGCATTAGATAATGAGTAGCAGCTGACAGAAGGAACAAATGAGATCTTCGTTGACATGTCAAAACTCAGTGCTCTGCACTTTAGCTTTGCGTGCAAACAAGACATCTTACAGAGATCGAGCAAGCATCAAGCGCAGCACGAGAGGACAAGTAGCTAAAACGATGGGCCATTGTTTGATGAGCTCCTTTACCCCACGTTCAGTCTAGTAAGCCCGAACTCTGAACCGTGCTGACTGCAAGGTGTCCTTTTGGCTTTGGAGCATTCAGGTCAAGAGCTGTCGTGCAGGCGTGTAGCTAGCAAGGTTGCTGAAATCGCATGGGCAAATTGATTGTGTGCGGCAACCCATGCAGCCTAACCAGCCACGTCTCATACTGCCTCCGGTGGCTCCAGCTGCATCTGCTGACATTGCGCTCTTGTCACTTCCACATGGCCTTAAAAAAGCAAAAAGTACAACGTAGAATAAGTTGCGATTGAAAAATCAAGGTTTTTGTGGTTAGTACGACAAGCCAGAGATTCCAAGAACAGCCAGGCGACCATCATGGCCTGCGGGGGTTCTCATTACTTTTGTGCTTTGAGCGGGGGACTCTAAGAATATGAGGTACATGTACCACACGGGGATTAAACAAGTTCCGCTTACGCTTTTTTTTTGCACGGGTTGTTTGAACGACTTCCACCTTGGTTCCGCAGCATAGGAGTCTGCGGAGCGCCAGCAGCGAGGGGCTGCCGTCGGATGTAGCGACGGAGGTTCTGTCGAGTACAAGGCAGGAAGCACAAGCAACAGCCGCCAAAGAGGGCATCGAGGATCCCTGCAATCCAATGGGGCTGACACCAGGACACCATGAGGTCAAAGAGGTTGGGGGAGTCCGGCTTCGGTGAGGTTGGTGGCGCAGGAGGCAAAGGCCGTTGGGTTGGAACTTCTGTCCAGGATCCTGGTGGCCAGCAATAATGACTGCTTTTGGCATACCACCCACCGTTTTTGCACACGCACTGATTCTGCTGCCACACGCATCCTCGTTGGGGCCCCAGATCATCACAGTGCCAGTGATCGTATGGCTGGCCCGTGTTACTCACACAAATGCTATGGTTTGTGCTGAGTCCAGCAACAGTTGCAATGCCAGCTCCAAGGATCAGGCCAGCAAGGAACGGCATTATGACCTCTACCACTGCAGTGCGAGGAAGGCTGGACACTTGAGCCGCAGTTTTCAAAACTCCTAGATCTTAAAGGGCACATCTTAGCCAGCTAGTACGCACGCTTTGGTGTGACATCCAATTGAACCTACAAGCCCAAACAATCTGACCATGTGCCCGATGTAACGGATTGCTAGCATGCGGGGCACGGATCCTGATGGTCATTCGGTTCAGAGGAACAGCGGAACGGACGGGAGATTTCATTGTGGTAAATCGCTGACTGTCGGTCTAGCTCCATGTTCCTAAAAGTCAGACATCGAAGAAACTGGCTCTTGTCAGATACCCACAGACCTGCTGCCCTGATCATGCAACGAACGTCAAGACAAATGATTCGGAATCATCATCATCATCATCATCATCGTCATCGTCCTCGTCGTCGTCGTCGTCGTCGTCGTCGTCGTCGTCGTCGTGGTCGTGGTCGTCGTCGTCGTCGTCGTCGTCGTCGTCGTCGTCGTCGTCGTCGTCGTCGTCGTCGTCAACATCATCATGACCGCCTCTGCAAGATCCCACACTAACAATCGCGTGAGACACTCTAGGGCCTCTAGGGGCTGGGATTCGCACGGCCAAGCATCTTCCTTGCATCCTCCGCGCCCCTGACCCAAGGCGAGAGATGTTGTGTTCCGTAGTTTTCGCAAAGCGGGTTTCGCACTTCAGGACGCATTGGGCTTTGAGATTCAGAATGTAGCATTCAAGGCCAGGTTCCATGAGAGCTAGGGGCTTTAAGGAGGACGTATGCGAGGCTTCAAGGAAACAGTGCCTTGGCTACTCAAAGCCTCCGCCACTCCTTCAGCCCATTTCAAACATCGCTGCAAGGCCTGGAAAGACCGGAAAAAAATTGCACCAACTTCTCTCAAGTCGAACTACCTGCGACCACGGCCATTCTGACCGCCAGTCTGGCTTCCAGGGGAAATGCGCAACTGCAAAGCCCAATCCTGAACTTAAGCCGTTGAGGCCTATGGCGGGCATCTGTAAACCTTAAACCACTAAACCCTGAATCAGCACCCTGAATCCTAACCTTAACCTGCAAGCCCTGAATCCTAGGCCCTGAAGCCTTGGAGTGCCTGACAAGTCATCTCGCAGCTCGCCCCGCCAGCGCTCTTTATCCAAACTGTCATATCCTCGTCCAGCCGAGAGCACAAACTTTGACAGTGTGGGATGGGCTTCCGATGTTTTTTGAGAATCTCTACTTCTGTGCTGTATGCCCAGCTGGTCAGGCAGCTCCTGGAACGGGATCCCAACACCTGCTGCGTCGAACACTGCAGCAATGAACCCTGAAGCTTGCAGGAGGGAGGGCACGTCCTGGATTTCAACCATGGCCTTCGCCGACCTCACCTCGATGGTGCTTGCGAGGCAAAGTTTCCGCAGATACGATGATACGCACTGTATTTCTCTCCTACCGCGTTTCAGGCGGTTTTATCACCAGCTCTCTGGTAGGACGATGCTTGGATTGGCGATGGTTGCACTGCCCTGCTCCTGCTGAAGAACAACCTGGCTGTTCCTCTCCTGGTTGTCATGGAGCGCTATCTTTCACATGCTTCCCTTCAGCTCACACGGCTAGCACTCTCCGTCCATGACATCATTCTAGGGATGCGGCCAGGAAAAACCAGAAAAGGGCAGCCTGGCAGCCACAGCTGAATAAGGAGCAGGAAGGTCCTGAAATTGTCTTCACTACAGCCCTGAAACACTGGGAGCGGCGTCTGCGCATGATCATCATCATCACCATCATCATCATCATGGGACAGGTCTGTAAAAAACTGTCTGGCTAGACCACTGCAAACTCCCTGGATTGAGAGGGCTATGAAACCTGCTAATAGACCCAGAGAAGGGTGGATCAAGCGGCTCTGCTCCATCCTAAGACTTGCAGGGAAAGCCCTTGTGCCCATGGCGCTCAGCGTGGCCCAGCAAAGCTCCTTTTGTTGTGCAGGCTTGTCATTGTTGCTTCTGGCAGGAGTTCATATACGAAGCAGCAGGCTAAGAAGACTAGGGCAATACTGTCTATGCTACTGCTACGCTAGTGCAGCCCCAAGGAATCTTTGTCAAAACTGCTTGGTCGGCATGGCAAACTCAGAAAATGCTTTGCTCTGAACACCTACGTCTTTGCGCAATGCCTGAGTTGGAGGCTGCTCAAGTGCCCTTGTTTCCTTGGTTGACAAACGAAGTTGTCTTGCAGTTTCTGAAGGTCCACCAGTTGAGTTGAGAGATAATGCAAGCAAATGACATAGCCCCAGCAAAAACGGGCTTACAGGGTCAGCATGAGCAGCTAGACTTTGTCGTCATTGATCTTTTGGCCAAATGGCTACGACCGCTCAAATGCACAACAGGCATGGTGGCTTCCACGCACCAGCGATAGTGCCAATATCTTGATTGGAGCTTAGCAAGCACTGGATAAGGCTTGCCAAGTCCATCTCTTGCAGTCAAGAATCTTAGGTCGTACCCTCATTGGTCGGTGCTGACTTAAACCATGGCTGTCCCGGGCGCATCATAATTCCAACAAAGCGCAGCAATCTTGCAGGACATGCACAAAGAATGCAATGTATGGTCTCGTTGCGAAGATGCGACCCCAAGACGGCAAACATATTAAATTCACTTTGGGGCTGCCAGGGCAACCTTACTTGGAATCTCCTTGCCCCCGTGCGCCCGTGCCACACACCAAACACCATCATTTCGCTCTTTTCCAGCTTGCGTTAGCGAGATGATTCCGCTGTCAACCAGAGGAGGACGCGGTCACCGTGCAACTGCTAAGGGTCTAGAGTCTTTGAGTTACAGGGCTCCTTGCTTCAGACTTGAAGAGATAATGTCCGGATCAGCCAAACCCTAGGCTCGTGAAGCTCCCCATACGCACTACGTCCCATATGTCTTATGATAGCTCCCATCTATCTGTTTCTAGACTCACCTCTTAGGCAGCGCAGGCGGAGGTATCGTCATAGGCACCGTCTGCATTGCAGGGGGCATGCCTGGAGTCAGGGACACAATGAATGAGAGCCTTTTTGCTTTGAAAACAAGGGGTATGTGATGGGGTCGCGATGGCATTCTGTCACTGATTGACATTAAATTAGTAAGCTTTACAATCTGCGGGGTATAAAGTCTTGTTGGGCATGACGAGTTTGGAGACATAGCCAACAAATTGGTAGCCTCAGTTTTGCTGCTCGGCATGCTGGTTAAGACGTGTTTTTTTACAGGCACTCCCATTGCGAAGAGCATAGTCCAAGCCCCTGCTAGAGCACACGGAAGATTGTGTTCAGGGTTTTGTTTCTGAGGCGATGGCATAATTGGAGGAGTAAGCTAAGCTTGCCTTTGACCTGAAGGGACACAGAGTCATCCTGCACCGGCTTCAGCAAAGAGCTGAACGCACTGAGCTAGCGTTTTGCATCACTGATGCCTCATGAAGCAGCTGCGGCATTGACAAGACGTATCATGCCGAAAAAAAAAAACTTGGAACTGAACCATCATTCTGGGGTTGTTGAGCACGACAAACTCCATGTGATCCACAGCTCCGCCATCTTGACTGCAAGCTGCAGAAATCGAATCGAATGGCAGGCCATCGGATCGGTCTGGGGCTTTCATGGATGCCCTTACCAAATCGTTGGTTGTGAACATGATGCAACTCTCTCCGAGCAATTCTCAGGAGACCAGGATGCATCTCTCTCCGTAAGCATACCAACGCTCCGTGCCATCGTCCGCGGCACCTCCTTGCTGGTGGTGTAAAAATCTGACTTCGATGCATTTTGTGCAAAACAAGCTCTGCGACCAAACAATCCGACCAGAGCATGCTGAGCGTCAAAGCCGGACTCCACAATTGCATCAGCCTTGCTGTAGCTGGTGCCAAGATACAGCATATACTCATTCGTATTCTTCCAGCCTTGCCAAACTTTGCACTTGACAGCGGTCATGGCAGTGATTCGGCAACAGTCTTGATTACACCTGTGGCGACGCGACTGCATGTACTCGAGTAGCCTGCGACCATTTACGACCTCCAGATTCAAGTCACAAGCACTTTGGGCGCGCGGCACCATTGGTCAGATTGAAGATGCCGGCGATGACTCACCATGGATGCCTGAAACATCGCCTCGGCTGCAGAAAACATTGGGTCCGCTCGGGGCAAGCTCCTCAGAGGAAGTTCTGCTGGCAGGGCTGGAGGCAGTGGAAGCTGCGACACAAGGGTTTGATGATGCTGCTGCTGAAGACGGCGCTTATGTGCAATGACCACCTCAAGCTTTAGCTTCAGACCGGGCTTTCTTGCGGCTTCACTCAGGTGAAGGACTAACTTCTGCTCCATCCGCTGCCGGGAGATCCGCGCTTCTTCTGCCTCTTCTTCAAGCAAGGCGAGTTTCTCAGCCAACCGTTCCCTGGCCCCAGGCTCAGATGTTAAAGCAATTTGACCTGGCCTTCATCTTTCTGCGTTCTGGATAAGCAGTCCATCTCTTTTTCAAGGGTATCCAGCTTGGTAACCAACTCGTCATGCATCACCTGGGAGTCAGCTTTGCGCTTTCTGCAAAGACGGTCCAGTTGTTGTTCAAGGTCAACCAACTTGGCGACCACATCCGTCATCTGCAAGTTGAGAAGTTCGGAACGGTGGCCCAGTTCAGCCTCAGCATTTAACGGTCTACCTCGGGTTTCAGTGAGCTGCTTTCACTTTGCTTCCACGATTTGAGCATGATCTTGCTCGCGTTCCGCACGGGACTTACAGCTGCCAATCGCACCTCAGGCGTCACTAGATTTCGCTCGAGGGTAGCCAGTTGCGTCTTCATTTCCTCGACTTCCATTCGGTGCTGTTCGGGCAGGACCCTCTTCTGCTCACGCACCGACTCCAGCTGTTGCCGCAACTCGCTGTTCGACTCCTCAACATGAGCCAGCCGCCCAATGTACCCATCACGTTCTTTGTGAACCTTCTCTCTTGCTTGCTCAGTTGAACCAATTCTGCTGTGCGCCTCCCACGGTTTGCTTGGAGCTTCTTGATTTCATACCAGAGGACAACACCGGGGCTTTGATCTCGCTGAATGCCCTGCGCCTTGATCGTGCCACGTTTCCGTTGCACCCAACTAGGCAAACGCACCATTTGACTCCGACTATTGAAGTGTACACCCCAGGGACTTCACTCCTGTCATCCGAAAGCACCGACAACATCAAGCGCTGCTCACGCATCCTGAGCCAGAATCACAGAATGCATTCCATGGTAGACACTCGAAGTGGACACTGCCACTTCCGCCCATGTGGAGCTCAGCTGGTCTAGAAAGTGTGTGGCGCGTCAGCTGTCAATGGAACTAGTAGCGGATCATGCGTGCAGCACACTCAGCCCTCACCCTGTTGGCAAAGCTTTTTGACCAAATTGCACATCCCCGGGAACGAGCTGACCCTCATATAGCGCATCCTAGGACCCACGAATGATTACGTTGAGACGGTCCCCATGTTCCAGGCACAATCTCCAAAGATGAGAACTGTGTGGTGGGGCCCTAGCCTGTGGGTTAGGAAATCGTTCTGAAGCTCTTGTGGACAAAGGTCGGAGCATGGCGCTCTGAAAAACGGAGCAACCAAAGAGACCCGGCCTATCAGAGGCAGCCCCTGAGGCATCACCGGCATTGCCATCGGTAGCCCTGCCAAGGGCAGCATAGTTGGCACCGGCAGCGGCATTGGTAGCGGCATGGCCAGAGGCAAGCCACCAGGCAGCGTCCTTGCACGATTTTATTCCATCAATGCAATTGTCTGGTGTTTTAGAATCTTGGAATATTGTTGAGGGCAATGTTTGGGGAACATGGTTTGCTGAATTTTCTGGGATGGTTCCTGGTCAAATGGGATACTGGGTAGAATTTACTGACACAGTGGAACGGCATGTCAGTTTGAAGGACTCAAAAGTATGGACCCCGAATGAGGACCCACATACCCGAAGCAGAGTTAGAAAGGATCATTAGCATGGGTCTGGAAAAACAGGAGTAGCCACAGAAGCAAATCAAGCATGGTGAGGACGAGGAACTCTTTCTGTTCTTGCCAGTGGCATGTTCACGAGTTAACATGACTACAGCTGCCAGCCGCACAGGATAGGTTCTGATTCTTAACGGATCTGCTTTGTTTATGACCATACCTCAAACTATCCACGAAACTACAGGCAACCCCCCGACACTTTGAGCTGGGGCTTTGGCGGTGGTCCCATGGGCGGTCGAGGCGCAGCTTTCTTGACCTGCACCACCCAATAGCATGGAAATCCTCAAGCGCAAGGGGAACTAGGTGACTAGGTTCACTGAGGTCTAGGGTGCCACTGGAGGAAAGCCCATGAGTAGCTGCTCCTGAGAAGCTATGTCCTTTCAGGCAGTCTGTAGTTGAGGAAATGAAGGCGGAGGGTTGGACTACCACAAAGTGGAAGGCATGCTGCTGCGCCATTCAACTCGCCATGAAAAATGCAAGAGTTCAGCTTTCTGATGCCACTCCTATGACGGCCACAGCATTTTGAATGATAGACTTTGCAACAGTGGCATCTCAAGTCTCCTGGGGATACTTGCCGGGCTTCTAGCAGCCAGTTGCCTGACATCAGAATCAAAAGATCTAATACTTGAACAAGTCTTACCCCATCGCTCTCATGCGTCCCAGGCTTGGAACTCAAGAAGAATGAGTTGCCGTCCCTGTTCCTAAGTGGCTAGGGAACTATGTGTTTGGAAACACAGCACATGGAGCTGAGTTTTGCCAGGAACAGGAAGCTCCGTTAACCCTGCCATGTGCATTCATGTTGCGTGCGCAGCAGGGGGAGGCGGTAGCGGCAGAACCTGGACCAAACGGATAAGAGACGTGGGGATTTCCCAAAATTAGGGGTACCTTTTTGGGGGTCCCTATAATAAAGATTATAGTATATTGGGGTCTATTTTGGGGTCCCCTTATTTTGGTACACTACCACATGCAAATGAATGGCTCAGAGTAAGTCCTTTATTCTCTCGTGCACCAGCAATATTGAAGATGGGAATGTCTCAAAATGAGGGTATGAGGGGATCTGCTTTGACAAGGAACCTTTTGCTGTCTGGAGACGATACCACATGGTTGGAAATCAAAACATGGAAAACGGCGCACTGTTGCTTCGAGACGGGAAAGCCTTGGGCTGCAGCAAATCTAAAACTCTTCCCGCAGAAGCAATTAAATCCAAGGTTTAAAAAGTCTCAAGCCCTAATCCCTACACTACACAGCTGCAATCCGCGCACAAGGCCTTGGCCGGCGGCGCCTCCTCCGGCGCTGCCGGGGGGGGTGGGGGCACCTCCTGGCTTAAAGAGGAGTGGCAAGGCGTTCCAAAAGCAATTCGGGACTTCTGGCGGGCTTGGGGCTCAGCCTTTGGGCTGCGAAAAAACTTTCGCACTTGTAGAGGTGTAGATTCGGGCCAAGGTGTGAGATTCTGAGGGTTCGAGTCAAGGTTCAATGATTCAGACAAGACCTTGTCCTGACCATTGGAGCAATAGGGATCAGGGATCAGGCTTGAGGACTTGGGCCAAAACTGGCCATCCCATGCAGTTGCCCAAAGGAACTTTCATTCAGATCCCCCAGCTTCACATCACTTGCAGTCTTCGTGTATGCAACCTGTACTCTGACTCTGCTTCACTATGGAAGGAGAACCTGGAGAGGAACTGCACGCCTCAGCATCCAAGGCTGCATAGGTGTTTCAAGGGGACCGCGACTAACAGAGGACTCAGGATTCACGATCTCATCAGCATGACTTACCGGCGGAATTTCTGTTAAGGCTGAGCCCGACACCCCCTGAACCCAAACCCGGAGACTGAAGAAGTGAAGTTCTTGACTCTCGCAGTGGTCTTGGATGTCTGATACAATAAACTTCTTCCCTAGCTTCATGTAGCCGTATAGTTGTTGAGGATTTGGGGTGGGCCCACCTGACTCTGTTCCTTTGGAGCAGGCTCATCTGGAGGTGGCGGTGGTACGGTGCCTGAATGAGTTTAAGACTTGAGGCGCAGATTTGGGCTTCCCAGCCCTAGTTCGCTTAGGATTCGGGTGAGGTTGCTGTGAATTGCGACGCTTCGATTTGAAAGTCAAGGATTTAGACCTCGTCTATACTTGCTCCAAGACACCAAGCCCTATAAGGATCTGAACGAGGTTGATGCAACTTGGTGAGGGGTTGAGATTAGGGGTATCATGATAGCGGAGGAGGTGACCTTGATTATGGGGGCAAAAAGTGTAGTATAGAGGGTGTGGAGGCATGCATTCCTTTTCTCGCTCATTTGGCTGTCTGTGCTTTCTTGAAACTGATTGAGCTGTTTGTGGTTCTCGCGAACCGAAGCCTGAGATCCAGGATTCCGGGTCGAAAGGCTCCTGAGCTTCCTGTACCTGCCTGAACCCGAGACATCTCCAAACCCTGAACCTGGATGGTCCTGAGACCTGACCTTTAAGTCCTGATCCCAGCCACTGACTGCTTTCGGGCCCTCGGCAGGGGCCGGCGGAGGCTGCAGGTTGTTGTGGACAACATGCGGCTCAAGGTTAGCCTTGTCGGCTACATGTGAGCTGCTGCACAAGCTTGGAAACATGTCAACTAGCATCCTAGTAGGCCTAAGTGTTCTGCTCCTTGCTTGGGGCTTGGGGGCGGGGTCCCCTTTTTGCGAAGGCTAATATAAACAAATGAACATGCTGAAGGAGCCCTCTTGTGGGGAGCCCCTTGTTTTGCAAGCTGCATTTCCCCGCCAGTCGGTTACACAATATCATCATACCAGTAGAAATGGAAGAAAAACAGTACTCGTAAGGTTGATGACCCGGGTAGACACTCATCATAAGGGAGCAACAGACAACAACAAGGATATTCATTGAGCTGAGTGCGGGAAGGGAAGGCTCACAGACACTACACGTAGAGCCTGGGTCAAAATGACTCCGCAAGGGGCCCACAACCACGACATAACCCCGGCACAACAGACTCGGCTTCGTCCTGGAGATTGCAAGCAAAACACATAGAGTAAGGCTCTGAAGTCAGGTACTTAGAAGATGTCCCATGGCTAAACTACATCCGAAGAAACCACGCCTGGATCCAAATTCCAAACCCGAGAGACGAAGATCTAAAACCCTAAACCCTACATCCAGAACCCTGTAGAAAGCTTCCAAAAACTTAATGCAACAGGAGCTCCGATCGAAAAGCCTTCCCAGAACCATCTTCCATCCGGACTTTCCAGTAGCCTTTGGCCTCTCCAGGTATTACTCTTACAGGCATAATGAGTATTCATGATATCTTTACTATTATTCTTATTGCTACTACAATTGAAAAATATTGATACATTAATACTATTTGAAACAGCATCAAGGGTCGGTACAATCATGATAAAGAGCCATGGTTCGTCCTGCAAGCTACACTCAACAACATTTGAATATTAACTAGTCTAACGAACTGGTATGCCCTGCCAAAACGTGATTTCATGTTCCATACTAACTTCAGATGTTGACCATGGCTCTGCGCAAGGCTTAACCTCAGATCTCATCAAGACTCCTCCTGAAAGCCCTCCTCTCGCTCCGCATTGGGGCACCAACACAAGATATGATTGTAGATTCCTTGTTTCTGAGCCTTCGCATAATGACCACTACGCATTATGTCCAACAATGATGCAGCCCCATCAGGTCTGAAAACAGAAGTGGATCATTGCCCTCCCATCCGAGTGGCAAGCTAAAAATAGATCCAGATTGGCAGCGTCTGAGGGCTTACAAGATGTGGCGTGAATTTAGCTGCGTGGGAGTCTTATAGACCGAGTCTCTGCCTTGCAGCAAGAAGCATCCTGTAGGGTGAGAAAGCACGAATTTGTGCATGACCTTGGCATGAAGACCCCTCTCATTCCGCGCAATGGCGATCCACTCTGCTAAGTTTTTAGTGGGTATCCGTGAAGATTCTGCCAAAGATGCTTCTGTCTTGGCCTGAGAACAGTGAAGTTTCCAGAGGGCCCCACAAAGGTACTACAATGTCGAGGAACCTTAGGTCTGCCTTAAGCATCTGAAGCTACGCCCTCTGCCTTGAGGCCTGAAAGCCCCTAACAATCCTAGTGGTCGCATCAGGGGAGCGCATGCAGTGCTAAATTGGGGAATCGGTGATCATATAATTCCACAGGTAAGGTTGACTATACACTTACCAGACACTTTCAACCGCTCCAAGCTTACTTAAATCCTACATGAACTCTAGGAAGCTGCGACCTGTTGATAGGAGGCTGACTGGGAGTTGTTGCGCCTTGTCCCACTCCACCAGGAGGCCTACTTTGCCATTCAGCTCACCCTTGGCCTTCAAACCGACCTCCCAGGGTGCGTGGGTTGGGCTCTAGAACTTGAAATTGACTTATTGCGTGCGGTAGTGCTTGCAACGCTTACAGGGTCTTCTGGGGTTACAAAGATTTACACCAGAGCACTAAAGACCTTCACTCAAGTCAAGAATCGCTAGAAGGGCATAAGAGACCTCAAATCTCGGCAATGAGCATGCCCAATTCCTAGCACAAGAACAGAACGATGGGTCCTAAGTAATATCTCTGTCTCATGTCCATGTGTGGCACCCCAAATCTGGTCTACGGTCGGCAGCTGCACTTCGATTCCGAGGTGTTGCAGCCACGCCACCACGCGGACAAACTGCCCTGGCGAAAATTCCTGAGCTGACACAGCGTCGTGGCATGTCAGAGCTTTCACTCTCCCCATGTTTGACAATGTTAGCACACTGGACAATCCCTGTCCCCAGGCTGCCTGTCATCCCCATGAAGACGCGCAAAGGCGTAACACAGTCTGTCCGGTTGTTCTCTGGCATTCGCCACGCTACTCTGCCGCAGTAGCTCGGCCGAGAGTCATGCTTTACTTTTCGCTTCTTGTCCTGCAGGCGTCGTGCTTGCACATGCTGCTTCAAGAAAACGATTGGGGGCTCAAGGTGCTCAAGGTTCAGCTGTGACCCTATGAAGGGCGGCAGTTTCTGTCCCACCTAGGGCTAAACTGGCTCAGCGTCAGCTGGACCAAGTGGGCTGTCATGTCTGTCCCTCCAGCCTTTTAGGTCCACCCTGCGGCCTTTGTCAACTCAGCAAAACACCAACGTGCTTTGAAAGGCCAAGTCCACGACTGAAAGATCATCCCAGAGGCTTCAAAACCCATTCCTGATGGGGCTAAATTGTTTTCGGTCGGTAGCATGGAACCTGTTGTGGCTTAGACCCAGCATGGCTCTTTCATGCCTCAATTCATGCACGGGCTGCTTTATTGCGGTCCTCGAGCAGAACCCCCGGTTTTGACAGATATTATGTCTGTTTGGCATTGTGCTAGTAAGCCAGGTGTAACTGCAACGATTAAATCTGCCGGCTTTGCTTCCGGCAGAGCTGGATTGCAAGAATTGTCACAAGCAGCTACTAGTCTCGGGTACTGATGAATTCTTCATCATTGTCATTAGTACCCCTACCCACGAGGCCACCCAAAAAATGAGAGGTGACAAATAATCCCCCAATTGTTTGGTCCTTTGCAGGCTTCTCTTTACCTGCTCTTTTGCGCTTTCCCTTTGCGGCCTGGAGGAGGATACCAGCCCAGGCTAGAAGTCTGTGGACTGAGAGATCGCAGCCTTCTGTCACAGGCCGTATTCTGGTTCCCTGTAGATCAGGGATTTGCAAGACGGCCGTAATTTTTCGGTGTACCCAGATGCACTGGTTCACCCATGAGCTTAGCTAGGCTGAAACTTAGCTCGCAGATTGGGGGGGTTGTTGAGGTTGTGGTCCAAGCTTGGGTCCCTACTCGAACATGTACCAAGGCAGTTGTTGTTCGGGGGTCCCAACTTAGACCTATTAGGCTGCTCCAAGAACCTTTTCCGAAGACAGCTGCCGGCCGGTGTAAAGGCATGATGTTAAATCAACTGCGGCATCATCCATATGAGCATAGCACCTCTTCCGGTCATTCCCCAGTCAGCAGCTGCCAATACCACATCCGTGAACCCCTAGATGTTCCCACCTTCCACTTCATTTTCCAGGCTCTCGTCCATTTGATTGTCGAATATTGGGGTAATATCCCTAAACTCTCATCCCTATATTATGGTTATCCCCATATATCCGCAAAATGTTATCCGCACATATCCCAATATAATCCCCTGAATCGCCCTATACCGGGGTCCATATTGAACCCCCTATTTATGGATTCCATGTTAGGATCTGCGAGCCTCGGAATCCTTCCCATTCTCAGGAAGATCCTGGGTCAGCAGCACTGGTTTGATTTCAGAAGTTTTGGTAGTTTTGGTGTGTAGGATCCAGCGGCTCAAGGTTGGCAGAGAAGTTGGTAGCAGGGGATGTTGAGTATTCTAGGTCTACTTTCCTGAGGCCGTGAAGCTAGAAGTGTTGCGAGGGTTCATGCTTTGCAATATTGGGATTCAGGCCTGGCGAGTAGAATCTTCTGGACTAAGACTTGTGGGTCTGCAAAGACTACAGCAGGTCAAAGAGGTCTCGAAATGCACGGCGCCGTGGAGTCCAGACAAACAGTACCAAAACTCTTGATCACTCCATCTAGACTCGTGGGAAATATGCTAGCATAGCCGCATAGCTCTCAGTTACCGAAACTTGGGGAATCATGCTGACAGCCGACAATCTCAAAGGTCGAGCCTTTGGGAGCTCAGCACGGCCGATCCCCGCGGCATAATACATGCTGATTTTCAACAGCATGTAGCCCCCACACACCTACTTAACCTTCTTGTAAGGTGGAAGTGTTCAGCAAATGCGAGGGGCTTATAAGAAAAAGGCGAAGACCGTGTTGCCAAGTTTCTGAAAGTTTGGAGTTTCAACCAAAGTTTCTGACTCTGTGATTACACAGAGCCTCGAGGTTGGAAATCACAAAAGAGCCTGCACTTAGAAGGAACCTAGAGTTTCCAGAGCACCAAGGAAAGGGCTTAATTTGAAAGCCTTCTGAAGGCCTAATATGTACCACCTGAAACCTTGCTAACCTGAAGCCTCGAGAAGGCCGTAAACCCCAAAGAAAGCAGAGCCATTAACCCTATACCAAAGAAACCCCTGAACCCTACCCCTCCTGCAAAAAAACCCTAGGCCCCAGTCATACTGAAGGAGGCCCTAGACCCTAAACCCTAAACAAGGGAATCCTAAGTTGCACAGTGACCCCTGTGCCTGAGCGCCGCCGTCTCCGGCCGCAGCAACATCAGCATCCTGCGGCTCGGGCTTCGAGCTTGGGATCTTCTAGGGTTTAGAACGTAGGGCAACAAAAAAAATTGGGATCTTCTAGGGGGATCAAGGGCAAAAAAAATGCGATTCAAAATTTAGGTGTTAGGCTGAGACTCCGGCTGGGACTTGGAATTCAGAATTCCGGGTTTAGAATTTAGGGTGCAACCAATGTTCAGGTTGATGACATATCCCGACGGTAAATTCGAGATGAATTCTGATTCTGTAGAGTCTCAGATGGATAGGGTTCTCTCAGATGGTGAATTCAGGAGCTTCAGGGATTCAGTGGCCTTTACATCAACAATGCTACTCACAAGGTCTAGCGGCTAGCGCTCGTTCATCTCGTACTTTCAACTTTTTTCCAGGGTCAGAGGACATGAGGCTTAAACTTCAACCTCAGTCCAAAAGACTTGGCCTGACTCCAACTCCCAACAAAAGCAAGGAGATGGTGGCGTGCCTACGTGATTTTGTATATCCACAGAAACCTTGGAATAACTTTGACTGCCAGTGCTAGAAGTACTGATAGGAAGATCAAAGTTAAGGTGGTCTCAACCCGGCTGATTAAACAAACACTCACCGCTTTGATACCCTTCTGGGCATCCTCCGACTCAGTGAGCTCGCTGGAAGGGGAGAGCGAATCTGCCCCATCGATGCTGAACGTCAGTGAGGTCTGGCAAGACCTGAGCGAATCCGTCCACCTCTGAGTTTGACAGCCATGGACCCTTTTGGCGGCTTTGTTTTGGTGATTGCCGGTATTGTGTGGCCTCCTCATGCGCCTTAGACGGCTTTTGCCCCCAGATAATGCCCTCTGTCATCCCTGACATGACTCCTACATAAGCTCCAAAATCGGATGTGTTCCTCGCTACTGTTGCTACAGTCAGCCCCTGACAGCAACAGTGACTGCTCAGAGAGTGTAGAACCATTTATACTCCCTATACAGTCCATGTTCTACCCCTAGAAAATGGCGACGCATGCCCTTTAAATGAGCTCCCAACGCTTCGGACTGGCCCGGAGGCGGCTTCACACGGAAAGGCAATACCACGACGCTGCCAGACTGCAACCTTAGGTGGGAAACTACGGAGCTGCAGCTTAAGCGTCAAAAATTGCTGGATCCGCTTTGTAGGGGGTTCATTGAGGTATGCTTGGGGTAACCTGATTTTGAGAGCTGCCCATGTTTGTCAGGGCTTGCCAGGCATTTACAAGAAGAGCTTGCCAGTAGGATCTTGGGGTCTGGGGGTCTCTGTTTCAGATGTTGTGGCTCGGGACTTGAGGTTTAGAGAAAGGGTGTTGTCTTGGCGGGTTTTGAGTTTGGGTCTTAGCGGTTTGGAGATTGAGGTTTGCTGGAAGATGTCATGCTCAGGGATGCTCCCTGAAACCTCCCCAAAACTTAAAGCCCACCATTAAGATCAGGATTTTGGACTAGCTCTTCTTATGAGAGGTCCTGTGCGGTCTCCCATCATACCTGGCAGATCCTGCCCTGCCGTTATGGCGAAATCTCTCATCCCAGCCATGAACAGCCATTACACGCGCTTGCTTTCAGTCAAGGTTGAAAATGTTGCATCGGGTGTGGGAACTCAGCTAGACCAGAACTCTCATAGAAACCCAAAAACCCAAGTGTTAGCAAAGTCCCCGCTTGTAATGGAATCCTGGTAGCTCCGTGTCAACCTCCTTCTCCACCTGAGCCCCGGAGTTTGGCATACCATTTGAGTTCTGCAATCAGTAGTATCAGAAAAGAACCGTGAAATACTGGGATTACCCACCAACAATCGGAAAAGAAAGAAGCCACCATTTCTGGGCTACAGTCAACTTGAAAGAACAAGCTGAGTCCAGAAGCAAGCAGCTGCTGCGGGTGTCACCGGCAGAAATGTATCGTATTGGTGGTTCAGTTCGGCAGAAACGAAAATAAACTTGAAGGTGATGCTAAACATGCGAAGCAGCTTAGCAACGTAGCAGCGTGAATCAAACAAGTGCTTGCATTGGATTGTGCGTTGAAGCTGGGGATTTCGCCGGAATGACTGTTCCACCAAGGACGCGGATCCCAATCGGAACAGAAGCAAAGGCATCCGGACACCATACCCTCCCGATTTCAGGAACTCTTCATCTTCAACCGTACAGCTCTAGGTCAGCCCGTCATCACCCCTCTCTCACTCTCTCTGTCCCAAGTTCTATCCCTCTAAGTCGTAACAACTGTTCACAGCGGTTCATTCTAGCCTTTTTCGGGAAACTTGTGTCATCAGTAAAGGAGGATGAGACGTTCTGAGAGGCATTCCTCCTGAGCACCTCAGCTCCATAAACCGCCCAGCCCTCAACTTCCACTAAAGCACGAAATGCTGCGTGAACCGCTAAGCCTCTTGCACCTCATCGGCCCATACATAATGCCTAAGCCCTGGATCCTCAACAATCCCTTGTTAGCCCTCCCTTTAGCTCGCGCCTTCTGGAGGCCTGAACTGCGATGTCGCAGCCCAACTCCATTGGTGGACACATCGCGGAGGCAGAGGCCATCTGCACTTGGCCTGCAAGTGGTTTTGGAAATCACACAGTCCCCTGAACTTTTCGAAGTCTGGAAAAAAGACATGGGAAGCTAGTCCACTCACACAGTGAGAAAACTCCGCGCACCCCAAAGTCCGAGCACGAATGCTCTTTTCAGGGCAACGTGAAACCATTGCTGGCACGTCCATTGCTGGCACGTTCTGCATTCGGAAGCACAGATGAAAAGGCAGAGCACAGTTCCGGAAGAGTCTTCAGGAAAGTTCCCAGCATTTCTACGACCGATTCTACTCAGATGGTGGTCGGTGGAATACATCTACACCGCCCATTGCCAGTTACAGTGAAAACTCGTGAACAGGTGCAACCGGACAAGACATCTCTGGGGATTGCGGAAGAGGCAAGAAATTCAGCACAGGGAAAATGAATCAGAAATATGCGAGCTTCTCCAGAAACTGCCATCGGCAACCTTTCCTTCATTTCCTACTATGCAGAGGGAAGCGTCTCGGTAGCTGATACGCAAGTAGTTTGCTAGAAACACTTGCAAGATGATATTCCAGATACCCAATCCCAAATCTCCACAGGAGCCCAGGGACCCACAAACCCCAAACCGCAGCAAGGGGCGAGAGCTTGATCTCCAGGTGCACCCACGAGACCCCCGGCTGGTTGACGACGATTCCATCTTGAAAGGCTTGCTTTCGCTTAAACAATAGTACTATAGTAATGTAGTACTAAGGTGCTATAGAAGCTCATACTTTTGAATTTTCAGAAGTAGAAGGATGTGAAGGGCCTCATAATCTGCTGTTGTCATGCGAGGTAAGTACCCAAACCGGAGTATCCCTTTCCAACTTGAAACTCACTGGCTTAATAAGATGCTTTCCAAAGAGACATCACTGGATATGGTCCTGTACATGGTTCAAGAAGCCGAGCCACTCTTCTTGTTTCTGCCCACCTTCAGCGGGTCGTCTGATTTACCTGACCAAAAGCAGCCCACAGCACAGATCTTGCCAGGGCCCCTTCGAAATAAAGAGCATTGCACAGGTACATCATGATGCCATGCAACACTGGGAGCAGGCTTCCAACGGCCTCCTATTGCATGATTCGCGTTCTTAACGCCCTATGTAGGCATTGCAATCCTGGAAGCTCTGACTTTCTTTTCTAGTTCTTGTGAAGCAGAAATTGAAGATCTGCCCCTGAGGGACTGCGAAGACTCCGCAAGAATTCTACGGTCTCAGATTGGCCTAGCGTCTTCAGAAGCAAGGAAAAAAGATAATCCTGCAGCATAGGCGGTACTGGTAGTGCGAGTCAGTGCGTGAAGACATCCGCCAACCCTTTTCCGAGCAAGCCGAAGGCTTCAGGGTCTCTGTTTTGAGCGTCTCCATGGCCCTGAACTATGTGTCAGCAAAGACCATACAGGATGATAGGCATGCTGCAAATCATAGAAAAAGAAAGCAAAAGTTCTGTTTAGGGTTTAGGGTTCGAGTTGTGCCGGAAGCAGCTGAAGCACATGAAGCGCAGGGAAGGCAACGCGGATTGGCAGCCTCTAAGTATACATGTTGTTATCAGAAGTATTGTTCTGACCTAACATAAATTGTTACCCAAGCCCTACTGATGACTAAACTGATGAACCGCTGAAACTTTAAACCCAGATCTCCAAGCCGTACATCTTAAAGCCGTAAAGCCGAAACCCTGGACCCCAAAGTACAATAGCCTGAGCTCAGTCCGAAACCCCAAGCCGAGCAATGTCAAGCAACTTAGCTGGAAGTGGAGAGGACTGTCTGGATCTTCGCCTCAGCTCTCAAGGCAAATGCCCTAGGTGGCTCCGTCCAATGGAGCATAAACTCTCATTGGGGTTTGGGACTTGAAGCCGTGAAACTCTGTTTCCCAAGGCCTACAGAGTAAATGCGGGGGCAAGGTGCTGGACGTCACCGTAAAGAATAGCGGCTCTTCCATGGCTCTTCCGTGGCCATTGGCAGGGCCGGATTAGAGTGGCTCCAGACTGGGTTATGGGGCTTGGGGTTTAGCTGGCTTCTGGCACAGCGGCAGTGCAGCGCTCAGGTTCGGGGGTTGAGCGTTCAGGGCTTGAGAGCTTGGAGTCCAAGAGTTGGGTTTGAGTGAGGAAGTTAGGACCGGGCTTCCTTTAGACGGGTGTAGACTTGTGAGTGCCGTCGTCTTGGGTCACGGCCTGTAGCAAGCCTTACCGGTTCAGATTAGATGTGGTTCTTGGAGGTAAGCTTTGTGAACTGCTCCTGGCTAATCTCGGGTTCGTGCTACATTGGCAACAAGGCTGCGGAAAGGGAAAAAGTGAGGCTCAGGACAGACTAGATTGAGTGATGGTTTGAAAATTTACTTTGAATGTAGATGCGCGTAAACGCCTCGCGAAAGCATTGCCTTCAACCATCGTGCAATGGTGTTCATGTTAAGGTCTTGGTCGGAGGCCATGCCAAACTATCTTCCACGCTGCGGAGGAAGTCCTGCCGAAGTCACAATGCTGCAGCTTTAGCTGGCAGCTGCTCCCTAACCATTACTGGGATCCATGCTTGCCCGCCTGCTGCTGCTTACCCAAGCATTATTGCCCTTTGCTGATGCAAAGATGATTCCGCAGCGCTCATATGGGGGTTGTCCAATATACTTTGTCCCAAACAGCCCTTTTGCTGCCCTTTCGCGGGCTT